AGGCCCAGGCCTCAGTATTTTTAGATCTCCCACATAATTCTAATGTGCAGTGTGAACTGAGAACTATTGGGTTAACCCCTTTGTCCCGTAATTTTCTTACCTGCAAAATGCAGATAATGATACCCACTTCATAAGGTTGTTGTATCATGTGAACCAATGAGTGTGAAATGTCTTTGTGAACAGTGAAGTATATTAATACTATCGTGGCCTTCTCTCCAAGTCCAGAACTGCCCCCTTAAGCTCTCCTGGTCATCTGACAACAGTGGACCCAATCCATTCAAACCATTACCAAATCTCTCACTCATATTTATAAATATCATCTCCAGTCACACAGCCAGTAACTTTGCCCTAGTAAAGATGATTAACCACTTCATCTATACTAGGGCCCCTATCTCTTTTCCTTTTATTATTATTATTATTATTATTATTTTTTTTGAGAAAGGTCTCACTCTATCACCCAGGCTGGAGTGCAGCGGCACAATTACAGCTCACTGTAGCCTCAATCTCCCTGGGCTCTGGTGATCTTCCTGCCTCAGCCTCCCAAGCAGCTGGGACTACAGGTGCATACCACCTAATATTTTTGTAGAGACAGGGTCTTACTATGTCGCCCAGGCTGGTCTCACACTCCCGGGCTCAAGCGCTCCGCCTGCCTCAGCCTCTCAAAGTGCTGGGATTACAGGCATGAGCCACCGTGCCTGGCCTGGCCCCTTATCTCTAGCTCACCTTCTTCAAGGATGACATACAGCAAATATTCTCCAAATGGCTGACCTGTACCACCCCTATATCCCTTCTACTGCCAATAAACCAAGGAATAAAACTTGGCCAAGAACTTGTCATTCCAGCAACTTCCTCCTTTCTCCCATCTATCATCCCTTCATCTCAATCTATTTTATCCATTCATTTCAAATGCTTTGAAAATCTAATTTACCTACAGGCTGTTTTTCTTTTGCCTTCATTGCCTTCTTTTACTTTCATTGCCTGTCTCAAAACATTCCCCATTTATTTTAGCTTTTTATCTACTGTTAATATTCCAGATCAAAAAAATTTCATCTAAAAAATACTACGACTTAAGCAGATTCTAGATGTTACTTGAGCACCCAAATAATCCACTTTTCTGGATGTATGTTGTTAAATACATTAAGGAATCAGTTTAAGTTTCTAAAATTTCTGATGCCCCAACTTTTAACTCCTGGGCTCAAGTGATCCTTCGGCCTCAGTCTCTCGAGTAGCTGGGAATACAGACATGTGCCACCACAGCAGCTATTTTTTTTTTTTTTTTTGGTAGAGATGGGGTCCCACCATGTTGCTCAGACTGATCTTGAACTTCTGGCCTCAAGCAATTCTCCCACCTCAGCTTTCCAAACAGCTGGGATTACAGGCAGGAGCCACCATGCCTGGCAGAATTTATTTTCCTTGGTAATTAATACGAATCTACTTTTCTTTCTTTCTTTTTTTTTTTTGAGACAGTGTCTTGCTCTATCGCCACCTACTGGGTTCAAGCAATTCTGCTTCAGCCTCCGGAGTAGCTGGGACTACAGGTGCCCACCAACGTGCTGAGCTAATTTTGTATTTTTAGTAGAGATGGGGTTTCACCATGTTTGCCAGGCTAGTCTCAAACTCCTGACCTCAAGTGATCCACCCGCCTCAGCCTCCCAAAGTGTTGGGATTACAGGCATGAGCCACCACTCTTGGCTGAGATTTTTAAATTCAACTTTTCTTCAACATTCTTGCTAATAACTAATTTCCTCATTTCATTTTATGAACTTTTAATCAAAAACCAAACTAAAATCTATTTAAACATGTGAGTTATCCACAGTTATTATGAAAAATTTCAGCCATAAATGCACTTAAAGGAAATGATATCTCTTAGCAATTGATATAGTTTATGTGTCCCCTCTAAGTTTCATATTGAAACATAATCCCCAATGTTGGAGGTGGGGCTGGTGGGAGGTGTTTGGATCATGGGGGTAGATCTCTCATGAATAGCTTGGTTGCCATCCCTTGATGATAAGTGAGTTATTGGTCTGAGTTCACACAAGATCTGGTTGTTTAAAAGTGTGACACCTACCCCGGTTAACTCCTCCTGCTCCCACCATGAGAATGCTGCCCTTCCTTTGCCTTTTGTCATGACTGGAAGCTTCCTGAGGCCGCCCCAGAAGGAGTTGCCATGCTTCCTGTATAGCCTACAGAACCATGAGCCAATTAAACCACTTTTCTTATAAATTACCCAGTCTCAGGTATTTATAGCAACACAAGAATGGCCTAATACAGCAGCTAACTGCAACTTAACTGTAGGCTATATGCAAAATAAGCCAATATTAAGTCATTTCTGGGGTCTGCCAGGTAATGAAAACAAAGGCTATGCTCTATTCCCACATTCTTCCTCTTAAAACACAACTTTTCTTTTTTTTTTTTAAATTTAAGGCCAGTGCAGTGTTCAGAAAAACACAACTTTTCTAATAGTCTTCTGCCCTACAGCTAGGACCTAATTATATTTCCTTATTCTCTTTTATGTTGTCTGGTGTAAGCAGATTGACAGGTCAGTGTTGCTTCTCTCAACCCGATTAAATCATCACCTATATAGTTTTTTTTCTTTTCTTTTTTTCCAGACAGGGTCTTACTCTGTTGCCCAGGATGGAGTACAGTGGTGGAATCAAGGCTCATTGCAGCCTTGAACTCCTAGGCTCAAGTGATCCTCTGGCCTCAGCTTCTACAGTAGTTGGGACTACAGGCACCCATCACCACTCTGGCTAAATTTTTAAACTTATTGTAGTGTTGGGGTCTCACTCTGCCCCCTAGGCTGGAGTGCAATGGCACAATCATGGCTCACTACAGCCTTGAATTCTTGAGCTAAAGCAATCCTCCCACCTCAGCCTCTTGAGTGATGGAACCATAGGCATGTGCCACCATGCATGCCCGGCTAATTTTTGTATTTTTTTGTTGCCCAGGCTGGTCTTGAACTCCCAAGCTCAAGTGATCCTCCTATCCCAGCCTCCCAAAGTGCTAGGACTATAGGCCTGAGTTACCAAGCCGACACCCTATTGATACATTTTAAAAACTGTGCTTAGCCGGGCACGGTGGCTCAAGCCTGTAATCCCAGCACTTTGGGAGGCCGAGGCGGGTGGATCACGAGGTCAAGAGATCGAGACCATCCTAGTCAACATGGTGAAACCCCGTCTCTACTAAAAATACAAAAAAATTAGCTAGGCATGGTGGTGCGTGCCTGTAATCCCAGCTACTCAGGAGGCTGAGGCAGGAGAATTGCCTGAACCCAGGAGGCGGAGGTTGCGGTGAGCCAAGATCACGCCATTGCATTCCAGCCTGGGTAACAAGAGCAAAACTCCGTCTCAAACAAAACAAAACTGTGCTTAACTAATTCTTTGTTGTTGGAACATTTAGGTTGTTTCCAGTTTTCTGTAATAAATAGTACTGATATAAATTCTCTTTGGATAGGCCGGTGTGGTGGCTCATGCTTGTAATCGCAGCACTTTGACAGGCCAAGGTGGGCAGATCACTTGAGGTCAGGAGTTCGAGACCAGCCTGGCCAATATGGTGAAACCCCATCTCTACTAAAAATACAAAAATTGGCCAGGTGTGGTGGTACACACCTGTAGTTCCAGCAACTTGGGAGGCTGAGGCAGGATAATTGCTTGAACCTGGGAGGCGGAGGTAGCAGTGAGCCTAAGATCACACCATTGCACTCCAACCTGGGTGACAGAGTGAGATTCTGTCTCAAAAAAACAAAACAAAGGACAGGCTCAGTGGCTTATGCCTGTAATCCCAGCACTTTAGGAGGCCAAAGCAGATCATTGGAGGTCAGGAGTTCAAGACCAGCCTGGCCAACATGGTGAAACCCTGTCTCTACTAGAAATACAAAAATTAGGCCAGGCGCAGCTGCTCACGCCTATAATCCCAGCACTTTGGGAGGCCAAGGCGGGAGGATCACAAGGTCAGGAGTTCGAGACTAGCCTGACCAACAGAGTGAAACCCCATCTCTACTAAAAATAGAAAAAAATCAGCTGAGCATGGTGGTGGGTGCCTGTAATCCCAGCTACTCAGGAGGCTGAGGCAGGAGAACACTTGAACCCAGGAGGCGGAGGTTGCAGGGAGCCAAGATCACACCACTGCACCCTAACCTAGGCAACAGAGTGAGACCCTATCTCAAAATAAAAATTTCTTAAAAAGGCCGAGCATGGTGGTTCACGCCTGTAATCCCAGCACTTTGGGAGGCCAAGAAGGGCAGATCACCTGAGGTCAAGTGTTCGAGACCGGCCTGACCAACATGGAGGAGCCCTATCTCTACTAAAAATACAAAATTAGCCATGCATGGAGGTGCATACCTATAATCCCAGCTACTTGGGGAGACAGAAGCAGAATTGCTTGAACCCGGGAGGCGGAGGTTGCAGTGAGCTGAGATTGCTCCATTGCACTCCAGCCTGGTCAACAAGAGTGAAACTCCATCTCAAAAAGAAAAAAAAACAAAAAAAAACAAGGTTAGGTGCAGTGGATCACCCCTATCATCCCACCACTTTGGAAGGCCAAGACCAGTGGATCATTTGAGGTCAGGATTTGAGACCAACCTGGCCAACATGGTGAAACCCTGTCTCTGCTAAAGAAAATACCAAAAAAATTAGCTGGGCGAGGTGGCACATGCCTGTAATCCCAGCTACTCAGAAGGCTGAGGCAGGAGTATCACTTGAACCCGGGAGGTGGAGGTTGCAGTGAACTGAGATCGTACCACTGCACTCCAGCCTGGGCAACAGAGTGAGACTACTTCTCAAAACAAACAAACAAAACACTTTGGACAAACAGTAAGCAATTTACAGCCATTTTTCTTGAATTTCTTGAATCATATTCAAAAGTAAGATCAATGAGTCAAAAGGGCAGTAGCATTATTACAGCTTCTATTGCATGTCGCTAGAAAGCTCTCTAAGATGACCGGATGAATTTATATTATCTCTCTTTCCCCAGAGCCTTAATGGTAGCTTTTATTATTATTATTTTTATCTTTTTTTTTTTTATTCTTTCAGTCTTTCTAAGGTTCAATTCAGGTATATTTCTTTTTCCTTTTTATCTTATTTTTGTTAATTTAATAATTTTTAGAGTTGGAAACTCTCAAAACTCTGGAGTTACTCTAAAAGTAACTCCAGAAATCTTGGAATCATCGTTGATTTACTATCCACATCAAATGAATAGCATTTGTACTGCCGTACCCTTCTGATTTCTATACTGCCTCCTGATGTGCCCCCCTTTAATCCACTCCCCACACTGCAGCATAAGTGACCAAAAATATAAATCTAACCAATTATTCCTATGCCTAAAACCTTCCGATGCTTAGAGGATAAAATCCAAACTCCTCAAAAGTCCCATAAAGACCAGGTTCCAGCTTACCTCTCCCAATCAGTCATTCCCTCCACATCTTTCTGCCCGCCCCCACCCCCGAGATGGAGTCTTGCTCTGTTACCCAGGCTGGAGTGCCAGGGCATGATCTTGGCTCACTGCAACCTCTGCCTCTTGGGTTCAAGTGATTCTCCTGCCTCAGCCTCCCAAGTACTGGGATTACAGGCACATACCACTACGCTCGGCTAATTTTTTGTATTTTTAGTAGAGATGGGGTTTCACCATGTTGGCCAGGCTGGCCTCAAACTCCTGACCTCATGATCCCCCTGCCTCGGCCTCCCAAAGTGCTGGGATTACACATGTGAGCCACCGTGCCCAGCCCCCTCCACATCTTAAGTCAGCATTCAATGTCCTAAGTCACTGGTAGTTTCCTTTAATGGCTGTCTTCAGGCATCTGCATAGAATCTTCACCCTACCTGGTATGCTTTCCCAAACCTCTCTCGCTCAGTTTTTCTCTGCCTGTCTAATTCTATCTTCAGGTTTCAGCTTAGATTCTTCTCGGAAGCAGAAGAATCTGGCCATCTTCCACTCCCATATGTTAACCCTTTCTATGTGTTCACATATAAATGCATATTAGTTAAACTGACAAAATCTTTTCTATTTATATTATGTTATTTTCCACCATGTAGACTGCCTTCTATTCTTTATCTTCTTTTAAAATTTTAAATATGCAAAGGCAACCTATTTTAAAATATCCATTTCTTTCATAGTCCTACTATAATCTGCCTTCCACAGTCTCAACAGTAAAGGAACACCTACTATATGCCAGGCACTGTGCTATACTCTCTGACTTAATTCTAAAAAAACAAAAAAGACTCTAAGACCTATACCTTCATAAAACAAACAAACAAACAAACAAGACCTGTACCTTCAATTTGTAAATGAGGACACCAAAGCTGGTGAGGTGTTGGGTGGTAGTTAAAATAACATAGTGTAGGACCAGGCGTGGTGGCTCATATCTGTAATCCCAGCACTTTGGGAGGCCGAGGCGGGCTGATCACTTGAGGCCAGGAGTTCAAGACCAGCCTGGCCAACAGGGTGAAACCCCATCCTTAATAAAAATATAAAAATTACCCAGGCATGGTGGCAGGTGCCTGTAATCCCAGTTACCTGGGAGGCTGAGGCAGGAGAATCATTTGAACCTGGGAGGTGGAGGTTGCAGTGGGCCCAGATCATGCCATTGCATTCCAGCCTGGGTGAAAGAAGAAGACTGTCTCAAAAACACACACCAAAAAAACAAATAAAATAGTGTGGGCTGAGTACAGTAGCTCACACCTGTAATCCCAGCGCCTTGGGAGGCTGAGGTAGGCAGATCACTTGAGCTCAGGAGTTCAAGACCAGCCTGGCCAACATGGTGAAACCCCATCCCTACTAAAAATATAAGAAATTAGCCAGGTGTGGTGGCTCATGCCTGTAGTCCCAGCTACTTGGGAGGCTGAGGCAGAAGAACTGCTTGCACCTGGGAGGCAGGGGTTGCAGTGAACCTATCACGCCACTGCACTCCAGTCTGGGTGACAGAGCAAGGCTCCATCTCAAAAAATAAAAAAGTAAAATAACCTAGTGCATTGCAGAAATCAGACCTGTACCCAGGTTTGTCTAACCCTAAAAATCTCTCTCTGTTAATATATTATTCCTGGCTCGTCATATATTAATTTCTTTTTTTTTTTGAGACGGAGTCTTGCTCTGTTGCCCAGGCTGGAGTGCAGTGGCATTATCTCCACTCACTGCAACCTCCACCTCCCTGGTTCAAGCAATTCTCCTGCCTCAGCCTCCCAAGTAGCTGGGAATACAGGCGTATGCTACCAGGCCCAGCTAATTTTTTTCTATTTATAGTAGACACGGGGTTTCACCATGTTGGCCAGGATGATCTTGAACTCCTGACCTCAGGCAATCCACCCACCTCAGCCTCCCACGGTGCTGGGATTACAGTCGTGAGCCACCACACCCGGCATCATATATTAATTTCTTATAAAAGCAAATTTATTTCCATTTGATTTATATTCCTGTTTTCTTTTTACCATAAAGTTTTGACAATTTTAGGAAAAAAATCTATAATCATTACCTTTCTCTCCAAAATGTCCTTGCGTCTTCTGACATGACATTTACTCTTACTGGGTTCAATGGAAGAATAGAAGAGGTAGAGAATTATAATCGGATGCACCTGGAAAAGCATGATCTGGGATACTGCTCCACAAATTACCTTCTTTTCAGTTTAGTGCCCCCTTTTCTGATGAACATACTCAACTCTCTGTCAAAGAAAACTTTTTTGACCTTATTACTCCATCAAATAATAGTACTCATCCCTTCTCTTCATGAAATTTTTATTTTTTTGTAGAGATAGAGGTCTTACTATGTTGCCCAGTCTGGTTTTAAACTCGTGGCTTCAAACGATCCTCCTGCCTCAGCCTCCCCAAGTACTGGGATCCAAGTGGCAACATAGTAAAGTGAAAAGAACCCAAACTTTCGATTCTGATCTGGGTTGAAATCCCAGTTTTGCCATTTACTTGCTATATGACTGAGTTACTTAACTTTTCTTGCTTCCTTATTTGTAAAATGGACCTAATATATCACAGGGCAGGGTTTCTTAACATTGTCACTACTGACATGTTAGGCCAAATCCTTCTTTGCTATGAGGGCTGTCTCAGGCACTATAGGATGTTTAACAACATCCTGATCTGTACCCACTAAAAGCCAGTAGCAACCCCTTTTACTTGTGACAACCAAAAGTGCCTCCAGACATTGCCAAATGTCTCCTAGGAAAAAATCATGCCAGTTCAGAACCACTGCTATAGGGTAGCAATGAGAACTAAACTGAGATCGTAGGTCAAGTGCCCGATACAATGTAGATCTTCAACTCCCCTTTGGATTCCAGGTCCCTTCAGTTCTCCTTCCTATCTCAGGCCTCCTTTTTTGTCCTTTCTGAAAGTTTTTCCTCTTTCACTCCTACAAGGGAGACATGACCTAAGATTCTATTCATAGTACTTCTTCATCACCTGTATTATTTTTGAAATTATTTTTATTTATTCATAATCATTCATATTTTCATGGTATATGTGATAATTTGATACATTCATATCATCAAATCAGGGTAACCGATACTATTTTAAGTGGCATTCTTAGCTACTTCTATAATTCCAACAATTGCCTTTGTTCTAACTGTCTGCAAAACCAGGCCTTTTCAGAAATTCTAGTCCTGCATATTTACAAGTTAGAGGATGGAGCTTTTTTGTGCCTGACAGAAACCTAATAGTAGCGGCTCAATAAATAGTAGCGGCTCAAAGTCTGATCATGACAAGTTATTTCTTTTCTGAATGTTTCTTCACCAATAAAATACAGGTAATACCTGCCTCACAGAATGCCATAAGGATTACTTCTTTTCTGAATGTTTCTTCACCAATAAAATACAGATAATACCTGTCTCACAGAATGCCATAAAGATTAAGTAATTACATCAAGAACTTAGGAGAACATCTATCATATAACACGTTTTCAATAAATAGTAGCTGCTATCATTACAGGTCATCTCCATCTAAATGTCCCATGGATACCTAAAACTCATGTCATTCAAAGCTGAAGTGATCTTCTGATCTCTATTTCTGCTGCTGACACCACTCTAGCCCTCCTGGTAGGAAACCCTAGTTTAATCTTTTGTTTTGTTTTTAAAGATGGGGTCTCCCTATGCTGCTCAGACTGGTGAGCAGGGGCTATTCACAGGCATAATTATAGCATACTATAGCTTCAAGCTTCCAGCCCCAAGTGATCTTCCTGTCTCAGCTTCCCGAATAGGTGAGACTACAGGCACTTACCACCATACCCAGGTTCATCTTTGAATTTAACCACAATCCCATCAACTGCCAAATGTATTGCAGTTACTTCAGCAATTTTTCTTAGGCTCACTGACGTCACCCTAGTTCAGATCTTCATTACCCTCTTCTCTGAACTATTGCAATAGTCGTCCTTTTTTTTTTTTCTTTGAGACAGAGTCTCTGTTGCCAGATGCCAGGCTGGAGTGCAGTGGCACAATCTCAGCTCACTGCAACCTCCGCCTCTTGGGTTCAAGCAATTCTCCTGCCTCAGCCTCCTGAGTAGCTGGGACTATAGGCGGATGCCACCACGCCCAGCTAATTTTTGTATTTTTAGTAGAGATGGGGTTTCACCATGTTAGCCAGGATGGTCTCCATCTCTTGACCTCGTGATCCGCCCACCTCAGCCTCCCAAACTGCTGGGATTACAGGCTTGAGCCACCACCGTGCCTGGCCCTTCCTTTTTTTTTTTGAGAGGAGTCTTGCTCTGTTTCCCAGACTAGAGTGTAATGTTTTTGGACTGTGTCTCAAAAACACAAAACAAAACAAAATAACATAGTGCGGGCAGGGCACAGTAGCTCACACCTGTAATTCCAGCACCTTGGGAGGCTGAGGCAGGTAAATCACTTGAGCTCAGGAGTTCAAGACCAGACTGGCCAATATGGTGAAACCCCATCTCCACTAAAAATACAAAAAATTAGCTGGGCGTGGTGGCTCATGCCCGTAATCCCAGCACTTTGGGAGGCTGAGAGAGGGGGCGCACCTGAGGTCAGAGTTCAAGACCAGCCTGGCCAACATAGCAAAACCCCATCTCTACTAAAAATACAAAAATCAGCTAGGCGTGGTGGTAACTGCCTGTAATCCCAGCTACTCCAGAGGCTGAGGTATGAGAATTGCCTGAACCCAGGAGGCAAAGGTTGCAGTGAGCCGAGATCACATCATTGTACTCCAGCTGGGCAACAGGAGCAAAACTCTATCTCAAGTAAAAAGAAAAAAAAAAAAACCAGGCCTGGTGGCTCATGCCTGTAACCCCAGCACTTTGGGAGGCCGAGGCAGGTGGATCATGAGGTCAAGAGATCGAGACCATCCTGGTCAACATGGTGAAACCCCGTCTCTACTAAAAATACAAAAAATTAGCTGGGCATGGTGGCGCGTGCCTGTAATCCCAGCTACTCAGGAGGCTGAGGCAGGAGAATTGCCTGAACCCAGGAGGCGGAGGTTGCAGTGAGCTGAGATCGTGCCATTGCACTCCAGCCCACAAAAAAGAGCAAAACTCCATCTCAAAAAAAAAAAAGATAAAGGAAGGGGGAAAATCTCTCAAAGGATATGCTCCAAAATGGCAAGAATAATCATCTCTGGATGGTTGGATTATGGGCAATTTACTTCCTGGTTTGAACTTTTTCCTGTGTTTTCTACAGTTCCAACAATAAACGTTTTATATAAGAGTTAAATAATTAATACTATATATCCTTCTGTGACTTCCTCACTGCTTATGTAAAAAAAGTCACAAATTCTTTGCCATGCACTCAAATACCTCTATGGCTTTACTCAACTACTCCCCTCTTATCATATTCCCTATTTTCTATTCTCACTGTCACCTGTTCAAAGCGATCCACTCCTTCAAGTTTCTGCTCAAATATCTCTAATATAATCATGGTATAAGTGGAAAAAATAGGTCTGCCTAATTCTTAAGTCCCTCATTTAAAAATCCTGCTCTTCCAGTTACTGACTTTGGGCAAGTTAACTAAAGCCTCTGAAATGCAAATATCCTCACCTATAAACGGAGGACAATACAACCTTCTTCAAATGTCAGTAATTAAATAACAGAAGGTAGGCCTGAGCAGTGGCTCAGCTCACACCTGTAATCCTAGCACTCTGGGAAGTTGAGGCAGGTGGACTGCTTGAGCCCAGGAGTTCAAGACCAGCCTGGGCAACATGGCAAAACTCCATCTCTACAAGAAATAGAAAAATTAGCTGGATAGGGTGCCACACCCCTGTAGTCCCAGTAACTTGGGAGGCTGAGGTAGGAAGATCACCTGAGCCTCAGGAGGTTGACGCTGCAGTAAGCCGTGATCACACCACTGCGCTTCAGCCTTGGCAACAGAATGAGACCCTGTCTCAATCAGTAACAGAAGGTAAAACAAGTAAAGTGCCTAAAACAATATGTGACTTGCTTCTATCTTGTATGTAAGGGACATACGTGGCTCAAATTTGCAGCACTGATAAATCTTGTAATGTTTTACCCAGTGTTCTCTTCAGAATAAACAAAGCCCAGAGAATGTTAATCAAGGAACAGCTTCAAAACTCAATTATCACAGTTCCTTGGTTTCCTTTGAGGGAAGTTTGAGGGCTTCTCTTTAGCGCCACTAAAATGGTGGTTCCACCCTTGTTCTATTTTGTCATTCTCTGTACAAACTAGAAAGTGATCATTTTTATCCACCACAACCATGGCTTTTGTCATCCATAAATGCCACTCTCAAATCTGTATCTCCAACTCAGATTTCTTTCTGTATCTCAAGATTTAAAAATAAATGTTTACCGAATGTTTAACCTGGATGTCCCCAAGAAACGTAAACTCAAAATCCTAAAATAATTTATATTTTTCCCAAAATTGTCTGTCTTCCTACATTCCCTGTAGTACCATTATTCATCAAAGACAAAAACCTGAGAGACATCTTGTATTCCTCTTTTATCCTCTTTTCTCCATAATCAAATTCTGTAATCTATCGCAAACACTTAGAACCACCCGCATCCCAAACATGCCAGGCAGTTTCACGCTTTAGTGTTTGGAACACATTATTCCCTCTACCTAGAAAATCTTCCACTTCCTTCTTTGCTTGACTAACTTTTCTCATCCTTTAGAATTGAGCTGAAGGATTTTCTCTAGAAAACAAAAGCATTTACTAAACACACACTATGTTCTAATCACTGTGCAAAACACTTTGCATGTATTGTCTTGCCTAATACTCTAAATACAGTCATGAGTATTTAGAGTATTAGGCAAGACAATACATGCAAAGTGTTTTGCACAGTGATTCTACAGATTGGGGAGGCCAAGATGTAACATAGGGGAAGTCAAATATAAATAGTAAATGGTAGAAATGAAATTCAAACTTAGTGCATAAGAATGCTCTGCCATCCTACTATACCACAGCTTCCCTTTTCCAGCCCCTGCCCACAGTCCTGCAACTTCATGATTAGTTAGGGGTCTCTCCTCTAGCTGCCATAATGAAGGGATTGTGTAGCACATTATAAATCTTTATTGTTTGATTCATCTTTTCTCAAATGAGTCTGTGAGTAAAGCGATTTGAAGACAAAGTCTATTTCATTTACAATAGTCTCTCATTATCCAGAGTTATCCAATGTCTGAAAATGGAAAATTCCAGAAATAATTCTTAAGGTTGTTTGTTTTTTTGTTTTGAGACAGAGTCTCACTCTGTTGCCCAGGCTGGAGTGCAACGGTGCAATCCTGGCTAACTGCAACCTCCATCTCCTGGGTTCAAGTGATTCTCTCTGCCTCAGCCTCTTGAGAAGCTAGGATTACAGGTGCCCAACACCAGGACTGGCTAATTTTCGTATTTTTAGTGGAGACGGGTTTTCCAAGTTGGCCAGGATGGTCTTGAACTCCTGACCTCAGGTGATCCACCTACCCTGGCCTCCCAAAGTGCTGGGATTACAGGCCTGAGCCATGGCACCTGGCCAACAATTCATAAGTTTTAACTTTCATGCTGTTAGGAAAATAGCGTGATGAAATCTCGAGCCATCCCGCTCAGGATGTGAATCATCCCTTTGCCCAGACTATCCATGCTATATATGCTACCTGCCCTTTAGTCAACTTCTCCTGCTCAATATCATCATGGCTCAATGATGTGAGATCACCTAAAGCAGATGATTCTCCTTCTGACTTATCATCAGTAGTGGCCTAAGGCTACATCACAATGCTGTCATTCACCTCATCATCTCATCATCTCATCATCTCATCATCTCATCTCATCTCATCTCATCTCATCTCATCTCATCTCATCTCATCTCATCTCATCTCATCAGGAAGGCACTTTCTCATCTCACATCATCACAAGACGGGTGAGTACAGTACAATAAAATATTCTGAAAGAGAGAGACCATATTCATGTAATCTTTATTATAGTATATTGTTAGAACTGTTCTATTTTATTAACTACTGCACCTATTATATAAATTAGACTTTATCATAGGTATGTGAAAAAACATAGGGTTCAATATTACCCCAGGTTTCAGGCATCTACTGGGGTGCTGGAACATGTCCCCCTTGGATAAGGGGGAACTACTGTATCTGTATTGCTGTACCCAGCAGAGTGCCTGACACATGGTATCCTTAAAAAGTATCACAGGGGGCTGGGCAAGGTGACTCACATCTGCAGTCCCAACACTTTGGGAGACCAAGGCAGGTGGATCACCTGAGGCCAGGAGTTCAAGAGCATCCCAAGCAACAAAGTGGAACTCCCCCCATCTCTACCCAAAAAAATTTTTTTTAATTAGCCACTCAAAATGTTTTATGCCTATAGTCCCAGCTACTCAGGAAGCTGAGTCAGGAGGATGGCTTCATCACCCAGGGATTTCAAGGCTGCAGAGAACTATCATCACGCCACTGCACTCAGCCTGGGCAACCTGCCTTTAATCCCAGCAACTCGGGAGGCTAAGGCAGGAGAATTGCTTGAATCAGGGAGGTGGAGGCTGCATTGAGCCGAGATCACCCAACTGTACTCCGCCCTGGACGACAGAGCAAGACTCTGTCTCAAAAAATAAAAATCTTTATGCTGATACCTCTGTCTGTATTAACTGTTCAACAAAACCTGATGAAGAGCCGGGCGCGGTGGCTCACGCCTATAACCCCAGCACTTTGGGAGGCCAAAGCAGGCGAATGACAAGGTCAGGAGTTCGAGACCAGCCTGGACAATAAGGTGCAACCCCGTCTCTACTAAAAATACAAAACTAGCCGGACGCGATGGCCCCTGCCTCGGGAGGCTGAGGCAGAAGAATCGCTTGAACCCGGGAGGCGGAGTTTGCAGTAAGCCGAGATCGTGCCACTGCACTCCAGCCTGGGCAACAGAGCAACACTCTGTCTCAAAAAAAATAGCTGTTTTTTCATTTTCACTGGGCAGATTTCCTCCAACTCCTATTTTTCCACTTGGCAAAACACGGTTCTCAAGACACAAGGGCTTTGTGATTAACTTATTAAACGTTTCCCGAAGCTAGGCACTGGGGAAAATGCAAACTGGGATTAGAAAGGGGTTTCTAGTCTCTAAAGAAATTCGATCTAGTACCGAACTCTCGAATCCATATAGTATGGAACACTAGGCTGTTCGAGTATGTGAGTCACGTGGCTCTGCAGCGTGACGGCGATTGTCAAAGTGAGTTCAGGATCACGTAACAGACTACACAACCAGCCCGTTAACTAATCCTATGGGGAGTTACTTTAGAGCTGTCTTGCCCAGACATAACCTGTTTGGAGGTGCTGAGGAGATATGGAGAAAGCAGCGAACCATCTCTCCTCAGACCTGTGCATCTTCCCAGACCCTGCAGGTCAGGGCTTTCCCCTCCCCCAGGCTCACCCAACACCCCAGGGAGGCGTGGCTCTCACCTGCCCAACCGTCTACCTCTCCCAAGGGGCTCGACTAGCTTCTCCGGGGACCCTTCCCTCTCTGGGTGCAACGCACATGTAGTACTGGAGTAAAGGCCTACACAAGCCACAGGCTCCCCCTTCTCGCAAATACTCCAGACCCAGATGGGGACCCTCCATCTCGCTCTCCACTCCTCACCTGTTCTGCGGACACCGCCCCCTTCCCCGCGCCGCTAACGCTGCTCTTGCTGGAGCGACCGCTGTTCTCCGCCATCTTCGTCGCCTGCTGGGTTTCCGGCCGGCGCAGCTCAGCACCCCCCCCACCTTGCGTCACGTCCGGCCTGCGAGTTACCGCCCACTCGCCCCGGCGCCTCTGGCTCCAGGCCGCCCTCCGGATCGGCTCGAATCCTGCGAATGTTTTTGGCAGTATTTTCATGTAGGACCTACTCCCTATCCCGTCGGCCGCAGGGAATCCCACTTGCGGTGCTTTAACCTGTGCGACAGAGATGCTGCCCCTGGGAGAGGCGGGGAGGGACGGGCCAACTGGAGCGGGGGGTGGAGAGCGGGGCGCGGCGTGGGGCCTGGGTTCCTTTGCCCCTTGCCCACCTTGGAGGGGTGGGAGTCGAGTTAGGGTGAACTTCCTCCTGAGAGATTCTGGTGAAAGGGGAAATACGCTTTGAGTCAGTAAATCTGTGCAAGTGCACAGTCAAGAAGAGAGTCTTGGGAAAACCAAGGGTAGTTCCCGGAGATGACTTTGGACTGCGGAAACGTTTGTCAGAGGAAAAGGGCTTCAGTTTAATGTGAGATCATTGAAAATTGATCTGTTCAGGAGGCGAGCAGAGCCCCTTCCTCCATCTTTCCACCGTCCCTTAGCCCATAAGTACTTACAGAAGTAAAAAATGTTTTGAAGACCAGAAGGTTTTTGCTGGCAGGGCCCTGATTCGGGCTCACAGTATAAAGAGAAGTCAGAGAATCCAAGAAATTTATTGCTCAAGGAAGGGATTGGTGCCCTCATTTCTCACCTTCTTCAGGCTGGGCTTCCTCACCAGGCCTCTTCACCGACTCCTGTCCTTTCTGTGTCCTGGACTCCGGATACCTCGACTCTCTGTACTTTGTGCTCAGCCCAGGTAACACGTTTTGTTGTGTCCTCAGTGCCTGGCACTTAGATGCTCAGTTTGTTAAATGGATAATGGGAGACACAGGACTGTCAATTATCCACATTTGATTAGTAAGCCCTACTAGCCCTGGGCCTGTAAGAGCAGGATCAAAAGGAAGTCCAGCTTTCCTCCCTTGCACCCTTTAGCATTAATTTTGTTTCCTCATGCACTGAAATCTGAGAATCCTGTCTATGCTGTTCACAGGCCCAGAGCCATGGCTATCTCCTCTTCCTCCTGCAAACTGCCCCTCGTGGCTGTGTGCCAGGTAACATCAACGCCAGACAAGCAACAGAACTTTAAAACATGTGCTGAGCTGGTTCGAGAGGCTGCCAGACTGGGTGCTTGCCTGGCTTTCCTGCCTGAAGCATTTGACTTCATTGCACGGGACCCTGCAGAGACGCTACACCTGTCTGAACCACTGGGTGGGAAACTTTTGGAAGAATACACCCAGCTTGCCAGGTATCAGGGAATGGGGGAGGGAGAGGTAAAATCTTTGTTGGGCAGTGCCCCTAGATTGCCAAATATGAGGGTACAGCCTTGAGAAGTCAGTGTCCCCTCCCCCCAGGGAATGTGGACTCTGGCTGTCCTTGGGTGGTTTCCATGAGCGTGGCCAAGACTGGGAGCAGACTCAGAAAATCTACAACTGTCATGTGCTGCTGAACAGCAAAGGTGAGACTTTATAACCCTTTAGCCTGCCTCTTCCACGTAAACTTAGATTCTCCAGAATTGTTTCTCAACTCTATTTCCTTGACCCTAGGATTTAAGGGTGTTACTTCTGTTCCTAGCCTATAAACTACTCCTTAGGAAGAGTAAGCAAGGTTTCTGGAACACGGGCACTGAATATTCCTTCTTACTCTAGGGGCAGTAGTGGCCACTTACAGGAAGACACATCTGTGTGATGTAGAGATTCCAGGGCAGGGGCCTATGTGTGAAAGCAACTCTACCATGCCGGGGCCCAGTCTTGAGTCGCCTGTCAGCACACCAGCAGGCAAGGTGGGAGTTGTGAGAGGGTGAGGGAGGGGAACTGGAATACTTTGAACTGGTAGTAGAGAATAGAAAGTCCTAAGGAGGGGGGTAATGAAAGTATGACTAGATGCTCTGACGAACAGGGCAGGAGGACTAAGTAGGCTGTTTTTCGTTCCAGATTGGTCTAGCTGTCTGCTATGACATTCGGTTCCCTGAACTCTCTCTGGCATTGGCTCAAGCTGGAGCAGAGATACTTACCTATCCTTCAGCTTTTGGATCTGTTACGGGACCAGCCCACTGGGAGGTAAGATGGCGCCTTTTTAAAATGTAAGAGCCTTTTCTTAACTTCAGCCTCCTCCCTTGGCCCTACCAGTTAAACTCCTTCCCCTTTCCACCTAGTAGGAAAACTCATTTCCCAGATAATTATATTACAGAATAGTTAAAATAATAATTCCTAGGCAATTATCAAAAGTCGCAATGGGTAGATTGTAGTGTCCCTTGTCACTTCCCCACTATTTGCTACGTATACTTAACTGAACACACATCTCATCCCCAGGTGTTGCTGCGGGCCCGTGCCATTGAAACCCAGTGCTATGTAGTGGCAGCAGCACAGTGTGGACGCCACCATGAGAAACGAGCAAGTTATGGCCACAGCATGGTGGTAGACCCCTGGGGAACGGTGGTGGCCCGCTGCCCTGAAGGCCCAGGGCTCTGCCTTGCCCGAATTGACCTCAACTATCTACGACAGTTGCGCCAACACCTGCCTGTGTTCCAGCACCGGAGGCCTGACCTCTATGGTAATCTGGGTCACCCACTGTCTTAAGACTTGACTTCTGTGAGTTGAGACTCGCCCCCCCTCCCCATTGTGAGCCAGTGTTGATGTGACTTGGAGGCAGGACCCAGGCACAGCTCCCCTCAATTGGAGAACCTTGACTTTCTTGATGGAACACAGGCTTGGCTTCTTGGGAAAGAAGCTTTCACCTGAGGTCAGATTGCAGTTTCAGAAAGGTGGCATTTTATATAGTCATTGTTTATTTCATGAAAACTGAAGTTATGCTGAGGGCTGAGCAGCACTGGCATTGAAAAATATAATAATCATAAAGTCTGTGTCTGGACATCTCCTTTGGGAGCTACAAGGGGAGTTGGTATACTAGTTGGACTGGGCTCCAGTTCTAGACCTCCTGGCTCATTCAACATGCCTCCCAACCTAAATAAAAGTGCAACACTCAGTGCATGTCCCAGCCCCATTCTCCCAAGCATGGGAGCGGGCACAGGAGTGGAGGGGGAAGGAAAAAGGAATTACTTCACTTTCACCTATGATGCCCTTTGCCCAAGCCAGAAGAAAGCAAAGGGGAAAAGGGCTGCAGGGTACATTATTTATTTTCATTTGAACGTGGAAAGAAAGTGTCACACTCCCCCTTCCCCTTTACAGGGGGAGTGTATTTTAATCAGCAACCTCTTCTCCATCCACCCTGTGTATGTGCATACACATCTGCCACCATAGTGGGGAGGCGTGACTAGGCTGATCCAGTCCTCTTATCTATTCCTCCCTTGAAGAGGGTTTGAGAAATGCAAAAAAGGAAAGAGCCACATCAGGCAGAGGTTTCAGCCATGGAATGGAGGAAAGAAGGCAGAGAGGAGCAGCACCAGAGGCCAGGAGAGAGTGGAAAGGGCCACAGCTTCGTTTTAAAAAAATTCTATAATTTGGAAGAGGGTGGCAATTAATTTTCAAAATACACTTCAGAGTCCCACCTTCCACATAGCTCCCTTACTCACAGCCCTTTGGTTTTTTTTTAGACAAAATTTAAGAGCTCTCATAAAGCCAGAGTATTGATAACCCCTTAGTGCACCCAAAAGCAGTGTTCACATCAATCCCTTACAAAGACTATGTTCTGTAGACTTTGTTTCTCCCTATACATTTGTCTTACGGCTCAGTGGTAAGGTAGCTGTAGAGACACACGTTGAGGGGTAAATGGAAAAGGGAAAAAAAGGGGAAGCCCAGGCACATGGGTGCAGGGAGGGGTGGGGAACACCACTTCCACTTTCCTTTGTCTTTTTCTTTTAAAAAAAAAAAAAAAAGGCAGGGGTGTCATTGGTTGGAAGGGTAGAGAACAAACCCCAGAACAGTGTAAGCTCCAGAGGTGGGTGATGGGAACAGTCCCCAAAGAAATGAGAAGAGGGAAAAGGTCAGGGCAATGCTTGCAGCATCAAGTTCCTCAGGAGTTTCTGTCGGCCCAGCTCATAGTCCTCCTCATCTACATTTACCAGCAGCTTGATGGCTTCATGGCCCACAGCTTGCTTGAGGGAGTCTGTGATGAAGACACCTTTAAGTGCCTCTAATAAAGAGCCATTGATGTAGTCGCGCCAGAATGCATCGAGGTAGGTGAGCTCAGAAAACTTGATGTCACAGATGATGGAGCCCAGGTCCCGGGACTTGAGGATGGTGTTGGCCTGGTTAAAGCGCTCAAACTGGCGCTCAAGTGGGTCCTGCTTGTTAGAGAAGACGTTGCCCTGCAGAGCAGTCTCATGCTGGCAGTATTCAGCCCGAACCCGCAGTCTGATGTCTGTTAGAAAGAGAAGATACAGAGCAGAAGAGGTTACAGTGAGGGATGAGTTTACAACCCAAGCTTGAAAACTGAAAAGCATACCAGAATAAAGTAGGGAACATCACCTGACAGCTTTTCTACCTCTTCCCCAGGACTAGTTCTATGTATCTCTACAATCCTTGCCTGACTACAGGAGGTTGCCTTAAATTGAACATGCCCAGGTCAGCACTGCTCCCATTACTCACAAGCAGCAACTTGCTTATAGGAGATATTTCTAATTACCAGGCACAGAAGTTCATTTTAATACTCCCATCTTGACTTGGTTCATCCTACAATAAGGATGTCATAACAACATCCGGGTGATGATAGAGTATTAACAAGAGTTTAAATGTACCCTGCCACAATCATAAAGAGCAGTTCCTCCACCAGACACCAAACCATTCAGCCTCACTTTGCCATGGCATTCAAAGTGAATCTCACACTGAATAGCATAAACTGTCCAGTGTCCCAGCAGTTTTTTTTTTTTTTTTTTTTTTTTAAGAGATGGGGTTTCACCATGTTGGCCAGGCTGGTCTCGAACTCCTGTCCCTCAAGCAATTCACCCGCCTCAGCCTCCCAAAGTGCTGGGATTATAGGTGTGAGCCACCGCGCCCGGCCTCCAACAGTTCTTTACAGTCTCCCTCAAGTCTGCTCCACCTCTGGAACTCTTGAACTTCCTCACCACATGTCTGTTTTTCCTTGGGATCTGGTGTCACTGACTTCCGGCGTTTTCGCTGGCTCCCAAGTGTGGCTCTCCCTCGGGCTGGCCGCTTGCTACACATCTGAGGACCCGAAGTGGGGCAGCACACCACAGGATAGTGGGGAGGCACTAACCAGAAAGTAAAAGGGAAGAAAACACAGTAGGATTAAGGCAGAAATTCAAACACGTCTCTTGGAATGAGGAAGGAATCATTTAGACTTAGCACTCAAAGCAGTGACAATAATGTGACTTGAAAAGACACAATGTGAGAGCAAATACAGGACCTAGGAGAAATGTCAACACCTCACCTGAATTTTTTTTTTTTTTTTTTTTTTGAGACAGAGTCTCACTGTGTCGCCCAGGCTGGAGTGCAGTGGCGCAATCTCAGCTTAGTGCAACCTCTGCCTCCTGGGTTCAAACAATTTCCTGCCTCAGCCTCCTGAGTAGCTGGGACTGCAGGTGTGCACCATGGCACCTGGCTAATTTTTGTATTTTTAGTAGAAACAGGGTTTCACCATGTTAGCCAGGATGGTCTCAATCTCCTGACTTCATGATCCGCCTGCCTTAGCCTTCCAAAGTGCTGAGATTACAGGCATGAGCCATGGTGCCCAGCCATGATTTTTTTTTTATGGCACACAATGTGGGGGCACAGCATCCTTTCATTTAAGCTGGCAAAGCCCCGAATGTGATGAAATCAGTGTCATTTTACTTGATTATGAAAAGTAAGGGGAGTCGATGTCTTCTCACCTGTTTTAGGGGGCTGGGGAGACCTCGGTTCTGGATCACTGAGGGCTCTGGGGGTCACATAGCGAATTGATGTCTCCTCCAGATACTTGTCTACAAGATCAGGGCACACTGTAGGAGGAGAAGAAATCATTCAGGAAAATATACACCCTTCCCTTCTCTCAGTCCAAACCTCCATTGGGCCTCACAACTTACTCTCCTAAGTACTCCCCATGGTCAATGTGTTCTCCCCTTTAGATGCCTATGCTGCTCTTTCCAGGCCTCCCGCAACTCTTCCCCAATTCCAGCCCCTAATACACCCTCACCAGCCCGTCTCCTCTTGAGGGTGACGTAGGGCAGCAGGTCGTGGCGAGTGATGATGCGCAGCAGCTGCAGCACCTGGCGAAAGTTACTTTCATCACAGCGGCCCTGGCGCTCCAGCGCCAATAAGAAGTCACGTCCATTTCGGATGAGTCCACGCTCATGGTCATCAATGACATCAACAAAGAGGAAAGAAAGCACGCGTACATCTCTGTGCGTCAGATGAGTGCCCACGATGTCAAACATGCGGTGCAGGCTATACAGCCCATGTTCCTGCTCACCATGCTCTTCTGGCCACATCTGGCTTGCCCGCCGCTTTAGGCCCGCCATGCTGGGGGCTCAGGTATGCAATGCTTTCCGGAATCCCTGCTCAGCAGCTGCAATCCCCACCGTACTGAAAGGTCAGGGAAAGAATCGATGAGTCACTCAATGGCAGGAACTAGTCTTAGGCGTTCCCATATTTGCAGTCACTAACACAATGCCTGGTATAGTACAGTGCTTTATACATGTTTATTAAATTTTCAAAAGTATTTGTTTAAAAATAAACACTGGCCGGGCACAGAGGTTCACACCTATAATCCCAGCATTTTGGGAGGCCAAGGCAGGAGGATCACTTGAGCCCAGGAGTTCAAGACCAGCCTGGACAAGATAGGGAGACTCCTGTTTCTACAAGAAAAAAAAAAAATTAGCTGGCCTTGCTGGTATCCATCTGTAGTCCCAGCTATGCAGGAGGCTGAGGTGGGAGGATGGCTTGAGGCCAGGAATTCAAGATCAGCCTGGTCAACATAGCGAGACCCCATCTCTACAAAAAAAGAGAGAAAAAAAAAGCAGGGCATGGTGGCATGTGCCTGTAGTCCCAGCTACTCAGGAGTCTGAGGCAGGAGGATCACTTGAGCTCAAGAGTTCAAGGCTGCAGTGAGCTATAATCCTACACTGCAGCCTGGGCGACAGAGTGAGACCCTATCTCAAAAGAAAAAGAAAAGAACTAGTTTAAATTCTGACTTTATCACTGAAAAGCTGTGTAGCTGTGTGACCTTAAGCAAGTCACTTAAGTTCAAATTCTCAGTGCCTTCATCTATAAACAGGGATGAATGAATCTACACCTCAGAGTTAAGAATCCGATGAGAAAATACATGCATAATCACTTGGTAACCCTTATATAAATGGTTGTGAAACAGATTTCAAAGATACAAGCATTCTTGGCCTTTGCAGCCCAGACTCATCCCTCCATATTATTCCTACAATCCAACCACATCCACTGCTCAGAAAGTTTATCAATAATATTCACCAAAACTCATGGATTTAAATCAACAAACATTTGTTAAGTTTCTGCAATAAGCATTCTTGTAATTCTATACCATTTGTACTCCCTTGATCTTCACACTATTTGACAATACCAACTTTTTTTTTTTTTTTTTTTGACGGAGTCTCACTCTGTCGCCCAGACTGGAGTACAGTGGCAAGATCTCAGCTCACTGCAACCTCTACCTTCAGGGTTCAAGTGATTCTCATGCCTTAGCCTCCTGAGTAGCTGGGATTACAGGTGCATGCCACCGCGTCCGGCTAATTTTTGTACTTTTAAGTAGAAATGTAGTTTCACCATGTTGGCCAGGCTGGTCTCGAACTCCTAACTTCAGGTGATCCTCCCGCCTCAGCCTCCCAAAGTGCTGGGATTACAGGCGTGAGCCACCGCGCCCAACCTTGGCAATACCAACTTCTAAGCTTTCCTCATGAATGTCATTTACCAATCCCGTATCAATGACCAATCACAGCCCC